CATAGGCGTCGTTGGAACAATATGTGTTACGCTTTATTTTAATGAATTTCATTAATTAAAAAATATATCCTGTTCGTTACGCGCTATTTTGTACTTGCGCCTTTTTGTCCTGTGCTATTTTGTCTTGCGCTATTTTGTCCTTACGCCATTTTGTCCAGCGCTATTTTGTCCTGTGCCATTTTGTCCTGCGCTTTTCTCATGGAGCCAAATAATAAGTCTGTGGCGCAGAGTTGGGTCGGATACATGAAAAAAGTATCCGAGTACCGGATACAGATACTTTCACCTAAAAAGTACTCGGATACAAGTATCCGGATACTTTTAAATTGAGTTAAATTATGCAATAAGATTGATTACGAGTAACAATAAACAATATTAGGCATAAATAAATGATCGAAAATGGAAAGCAATATAATAGAAACAGGAAAAAACTACTCAATAAATTGTTTATTATTTTTCTGTGAATATAAAAAATTAAAACAAAATAAACAATAAAACATAAAGGTGCGTGTAAATAAAACGAGTCGCGCCTGAACGGCGCCAAAAACCAGCCCGTGTCGTGTCCATATAAATCTAACCAAATAAGCTCGTTGTTGGCGCGACTTGCCATGTTTATACAACCTTTCGATATTCTCGTCAGTGTCAGATGTATTCGACAATCCATTTTTTGTGGATCCTCCGACGAGTGGTACTTGGTAGAGTCGAGAACGTCGAAAGGAGGAGTGAGAGATTGCTGAATGTTTCATTCTGGCATAGGCAAAGCAGGCTCGTATATTTGATCTTGTCAGATCTGTAAACTTTACTGATGTTGATGACGACATAAATAACACATGATCAGTAACATTATGAGCAACAAAGTCATACATGTATTTTCTCGACTACATTTTAAGAACTGATAATGTAATTAGACATTTTACAAAACAAAAAATTCGAGGTACCTACACCTACTTACCTTTGCGTATAGTTAAGCACTAAAACTGAAAGTTTAATTATATTGCACTATATAAAAACACAGGAACAACCGTCTCTTGTCTTTGCCAACTGAAACATAACTGGGCTAATGGAACCTCCACAAGTTCGTGGCGCTAACACCGGACAAGGGTTTGAAGGATTTTTCCTGCAAAAACGTGCCGCAAGATGCTGAATCCCGACCGTCTGTATACTGGGTGAATCGTCGAATTTCTCCTTAGCGATGATAATTTTTATTTTGCGTTATTTTAAATTTTACAGGGTGCACCAAACAAAACACAAATCATATTAAAATATTTTTTTTTTTTTAAATTTGGTGTCATCGGCATTGACTACTAAGGCCATTAGCCTCAAGTAAAATAATTATTTTACCATTTTTTTAAATAGGTACCTATTGCAATTATTGTGTCTTAAATATTGTAATATTAAAAAATACGTATTTTATTTCTAATTATACAGGGTAGCTCAAAGTATTTCGGGTTGTTATGCCATTAGAACTACCTCTCATGAATTAGGAGTTTGTCCAGCAAAAACTGCAGATTATGCGTTAGTTGATTCCCATTATGCTGTTCAGTTTTGAGGAGTCTGTTCTGCCGAGTTATTTGACAGAGTCTTTATAATGCAGAAACGGGCAATAAGGATCTTATGTGGAGCACACAGATTAGTTTCATGTAGACCGCTTGTTGCATGATCCATAAGAACAAGTCAAAATATAAATCGAATACATCCCGTGTAACTCGCCAAACGGGTAACTTGAAGTTGCCTATTCCCAAAACAGAACTTATAAGAGACTCTTTTATATATAATGGTATTAAGATGTACAATAGGCTATCACATACTTTGACAGATGTTGAGTCACAGAATTGTTTTAGAAAGCTGCTCAGGAGATTTCTGTTAACTAGGCCTTATTATAATATTGCAGAATTTTATAATGACGAGACACTGTGTGTGATATGTGTTTTATTTTGTTTTGTTCTATTTTATTTTAGATGTATGTATTAATGTTAATTTATAATAATGTTTGTTTATATTTTAATGACTATTTATTTATTTGTGATTTGTACAATAGTGTTTGTCAATAAGTATTTTAACTTGGACAATAAACATATATTCTCTCTCTCTCTCAATATATATTTTAATAGAGATAATATGGATCGGATCGTTACGATTGTGGTAAATAATCTAAAAGTATCCGAATGCCGAAAAAAGTATCCGGATACTTACAAATTTGGTCACGGATACGGATACAAAATTTGAAAAGTATCCGGATACAGCTTTCTGCTGTGGCGTAATATCTTAGGGAAAAAGTAGGGATAGAACGATACCGATATTGATATCGGTAGTTGTTGCCGATTATCGGTATCATATCGGCAAACAAAATTTTTTGCGCTTTTCACTCTTTTCAGTGCATAAATGAAATACTTTGTTAATCAAAATATATTTTTTTATTTAACATTTTTACTAAAAAAGTAAAACAAAATAATCAGCAACCGTTCTCTTTCTACCAGCGCCCGTTTCCGCTTCCATTTTATTTGAACCCTCCATTTAAATAGAATATTTTTATTTATTATTTATTTTATCTCCTCTAATTAACAGTCAAGTTTAAAACGCCGTGTTTTAAAGCACTACAGAATATAAGAGGCTTCCCCTGAAATCCGAAATGTCACTCACTACCAATCACAAACGTTTCTTCGCAATGAAATTATAAAACGGGACTTTCCCGGTTTTTGCTTCGGTCGTGTATAAATAGAAGGCGTTATGTTTGCCGATACGATATATCGGTACGTACATATCGGTATCGGCCGATATATCGTATCGGCAAAAAAAGTGATATCGTTCTGTCACTAGAAAAAAGAATATAGTAACCAGAGCAATGTCTTTTCTGGATAACCTAACCTGCAACAGAGGCCTTTTATATTCTAAGAACATCCATAAAAGGATTATTTATTATATAAAACACTACAAAATATAAACATAGGTTGGTACTCTTTATTCAGCTCAAAAAGTTTTCCACGGTTTGAAAGGGTCGCTTCTTTTCTTAGCTTATCCTTTCTTTAGCCCAATAATAATAATAAATAACAATATTTTATAATTTACCCCATTAGGAATTATGAGTGATCCCTGCAGCTCTGAAAGAAGAGTTGTGTTGGGAAGGACGACTATTATTTTTTCCATGGCGCTCCGATGCAACTTAGAGATGGTGTCATTTGACTTATAGATTAGGAAACAAACCCAGAAAAACCCCACACATAAGCATAAAAACTAATAAATAATTCAAGTCAATGCTAAAGAAATACAATTTAATATTTGTTGTTTATAAGCCAGAGTATGTAGTTCGAATGTTTCAATATTTTGTAGTATTTTCGAAGAGTTCCGAAGTTAGTGGTGCGCAAGAGACGAGAAAAATCTCGATCTCGTCTCAAGACGAGATCAAGATCTGCATAACAAGTCGAGATCTGATCCTCGAGATCTCGGCGAGAAGGAGATCTCAAAAAAATCTCGCAGAGATCTCGCCGACAAGGATGCGAACATTTAAATGTGGTGGATTCACAATCAAAATGATTACCCCTCGCTATCCAAAAAGGCTCGCGATTTTTTGGGTACTCCGGCCACATCAGTCCCTGCCGAGAGACTGTTTTCAAAAGCTGGCCTCATCACAAGAAAACTTCGAAGCCAGTTAACAGCTGATTCGGCCAGATCTCTAATATGCCTCAATTCTTATTTTACCTTAAAGTTATTATAATATTTTTAATATAAATTATTTAAAAAAAATAATAATATTTTTTTATGATTCGATAAAATTTATGAATATTTATTTTTATAATGTTAATGGATAATCTAACGTATCTATTTGAAAGCATAGTTTTTTTATTTTCCAAGAATATTATCTTTTAATGATCTCGGCAAGATTCGAGATCGAGATTGCCCAGTCGAGATTTTCTAGATCGATTTTCGAGATCGAGATTTGGAGTTCGAGATTTTACGAGATCGAAAACGAGATTTTACGAGATCGAGTTTTGCAAAATCTCGTCTCGTCCGCACCACTATCCGAAGTCAAAACAAATCGAGTTATAGAATCGTTTTTCATAATTCGATCGAATTATAAATCGTGTCGAGATCCAGTTACTCGACAAAGAACGAAATCCCACCAGATTTCAAAGCGTAAAAATATTACTTTGGATGATAGCTTTTTTTAAATTAATTAATTAATTAACCATAAATTTTTAATACAGGACTAAGAGAAAATGTGACTATTGGCGATTCAAGCTAAGCAATACGCCCTCTGGGGTACATTTTATAATATGTTTAAGTGCTCAGTGTTGCCGTTGTTACTAAAATTGTAATAAAGCTATTACTATGTTATTAAAGTGGAACTCAAAAATATAATTCAGAATGTCATTATTTCAGTGACAAAAGAAAACAACGGTAAGCACTATACGGAACTCTTAACTTGACACTAGAAATAATTAACTATAAAAAAATTTCTATTACCAATAAATTAATTGTTATGACAACACTGAAGTGTGTTTTGATTACTTACACAGCGCGGGAAAATTAATTTAAATCGTAAATATTTTACCTGTTAGTTGCGAGAATTATTTCTTTCTTATCCTGTATATTTTGATTTGATTTTGAGAAGTAATGGTTGTAGGATTCTATATTCCAGACGCAGTAAAAGCTTTTTATTAGTAAAAACTGAACACATAAAATAAACCTTCTATGACATAATTAAATAAACATTTCATTTCAAAAATATATATTTACACACATTTACAATTTTGCAATCTAGAATTAAGGCACTTTTGACTTCAAATTGTTTAAAACACGAATGCCTAAACTTACATAAATTTTAAAATCTACTTTGCATTAAGGAACAAAACATTTAAAATGAATAATCAGATAAAAAATTGATAGACTAGAAAAATTATTTTCTAAATATTAAAACATACTTAAGCTAATTAGTGTTACAAGTGGAAGAGTACAGTAAATAAATATTCTTATTTCAACGTTATAAGCATTAAATGAGCAAAAAACTAATATTATACAGTGTCTACCATTAAATTTACACTAAATATAAACTTTTTGATAAGTATTATTTCTCAAAAAATTATTAGAACGGGTACCTAAAAAGATTTCCATATTCAATAGCATACGTACTTTTAAAATATATTTGTGTAGTTTTCATTTTTTTTAAATATCAAATAAGAAAATGAGACTGAAGAATGGTAGTATTAGTAGATTTGAATCACTGCAATTAAATTAGTCCACGAGATGAATGTGTCACATAAAAATGGATTGCGGACAGTAGACAGATTTGAAAAAGTCCTCTAAGTATATAAAAATCGAGTGGGTTTAAGATAAATAAAAAATATTTTTTTTTTACTGTCTTTGACTTTTCAATTTACTTATTATTTAGAAAATTTTAAATCAATGTGTTGTATCTTTTTTTTTAGATAAAATAAAAATACATTTTTTTTTTCAATAAATATCACAAAATTACTTGTTTTCCTAAATGGCATGTCATTATTGAAGGTGATTCCTTGGCATACTTTATAATTAAAATTTCACATACACATGGATTAAAAAAAGAAAAAAAAAAATCGGTTCTTCATTGATATACCACATACTTTTGACGATTTTGATAAATTTTAAGTTTTGTTTGTAGAACTAAAAATAATTTAAAGCTGATTAGATTAAAAATATGGCGTTTCCAAGGGCAAAATAATTGACGGCTTAAAAAAAATTGAGCACGGACATTAGTTTGTAATGAAATTTTAGTTAAAAATATGACAAAGAGTTACCTCCTTCCAGGGGCGGATCCCGAACCTGAAAACAATAGTAAATCATTATACTGAGTGGCCCAAAAGTCTGGAAACGGCCAATTATCTCGTAAATTGCTAATCCTAATTGTACAAAATTTGGGGTACACCTATTTTGGGATACGGTGATTCCAGATTTGATATTTGCAATGTTGCCAGATTTGCCGTTTCTCTTAAATTATTAGTCACTTTGGTTTTTCAAATTCATCACCCAATATATTCAGTCATTATTGGAATCTCCTATTCAATACGAGTATGTAACACTTATAATTTTATGTAGTCTGCAAGGTCTTAAATAAATAAAGTAAGTCTGGCAACGCCTAATTGTCTCAATAAATTTTTTAATACAAACTATTTTCAACTACATTAAAACGTAACAATTGAAAGATTATAACATTTTTAACATAATGGTTACTTTATCAAGTGTTCAAAATGTGATCCATTTGTGAGTTGACAGTACCCCTTAATCGATGGTAGAATGTGTCTACCTCATTTCTCCATGATTGTTTTATTTATTTAAGACCTTCCAGACTACATAAAATCATAAGTGTTACATATGGTTGAACTCATATTGAATAGGAGATTCCAATAATGACTGAATATACAGGGTGATGAATTTGAAAAATTAAAGTGACTAAGAGAAACGGCAAATCTGGCAACATTGCAAATATCAAATCTGGAATATCCGTATCCAAAAATAGGTATAACCCAAATATTGTATAATAAGGATTAGCAATTTACGAGATAATTGGCCGTTTCCAGACTTTTGGGCCACTCCGTATAATAAATTTTCAAAGTGAACCCAATTACTTCTATGTATTTTTTTATACATTGTGTCCCAAAAAAGTACATTTAATTAAATAATTTTTAATAAAAAGTTCTGCATCACTTGGAAATGCATAATAAAGCATGAAATTTGTGAAATTAAAAAAAAATCCAATTCACATTTAGCATTGGTTTTGGATCATTTATTTAATAAAATAAATCAAAATAATTTAAACACAAGTACAATGATTTAAATTTGACAATATTTTTAAATACCAATCAAAATTTTCAATAATTAATATTTTTCTCTATATTGAAAAATAATTTACTCTTTTTTATTTTCCCTATATACCTGCTATATTTTTATAAAAGTTGGTGCTTGATTATCGATTGTCAAGTGATGTGGAGCTTTTTATCAAGAATAATTGTGTTTGTGAAGTGTAAGATAAACTTTTTTCCCATTTGTATACCACTTTTTTGGACACCTTGCATAAAACACCCTCTATATCAGCAAGGAATCACATTTTATCAAGTGTTTTTCGTTAAATGGTTACATTTTAGGCAATAGTGATAATGAATCCTGTATACAGAATATGAAAAAGAAGTAAGTACAGAAAAATGTAGTACAGGGCACGCAAAGCAGGCTTATTTTTTAATAGTTTTATTATAAAGTTCTGAATGATATTTAAATAAATATATTAGTCACTATCCATTTTTATTCTCTTTACAATTGAAAAATTTAATTTAAATATCTCATAATAAGTTACTAATTTTTATTTTGTTAATTTATTTTTCACCAACTGTTTTTTTTTGAAAAAATATTAACAAAAACAGTTCTATTTAGTCAACATTTTCTGGTAGACACTGTACCTATTGTAACACAGCTTTTTTTTTAAATAAATTAAAAATTTCTAACTATTTTGAAATTATAATCAACATAGTTTCAATACAAATACTTATTTTATTAGCATGAGGCAGTGTGTACAATCAACATTCTTTTTCCAAAAATTTCCTCACACCTGTGATTTTTGAGTTTTTAAAGACAAGTCTTTTAAGTCATGAACGTTAAATCAGTATAATTTTAAAATTCAGTATATTACGTTTTTTTATGAAGTAAGTAACAAATAACATGTAATAAAACTAGAGGTAATTATTTTAAAAAGATGAGTTTATTATGATGAAAATATTTTGAACAAAATTATAAAAATGCGATAGTTTTTACAGTCAATTTGATCTTACTTCCTTTTCATCGATAACCAATACATTTTACTTGCATCTCATCATAAACCTACATTTAAGGTAAACTCAACTTCCTTTAAAACTTTGGAATGCCAAATTAGTAACAACAAAAAAATTTGTCTTGATTTTTACAAGTGTCAATGTGCAAGCCACAATGAGCTGCTTGTTGGTGCCAAAGGTGAATTATTGGCGATATACTGGTGCAAATATGGCTAGACTAAAACAGAAGTGATCCAAATAATATTTTTGTTAAAATTGAGATAGCACCATTTTCAAATTTTAAAATTTGTATTTTACCCAGTGCAGAAGGATAAAATTCACTTCTGCATTTTTATATTTTATCTAAACTCTTTTTGCAGAACTGATCCAGTTTATAGAATGCTACATAGATAATTTTATTACTATACTATCGACATTGCAGAATTGATCCACTTGCATGATGTCATTTGGATTACTTTTAATATAAATAATTTTTAGTGCATATTTGATATATCTGTCAAACTTGCGTCAGTTGGATCCTTTGACCGTTTTAATTAATTATTACATAATATTACGCAACACTTTCTTTATTAAACAAAAATCCATTAAGTTTTTGAATCCATTTTTTTTTCATAAATAATGTGTTTTGGAAGGCATTCTTTTTAATACCCGGTTAATTATGTGCGAATGCGTTCAAATTCGCACACAATTTGCCAAGAGTGTCACTGTCTTTCGGATCAGCTGTTCCTTTTGGAATTAAAGTAATAAGTGGTAATAATGTCGCTTTCTCGTTGTCAAAGAATTGTTCAAGCTGCATTGGAAAATGATTAACTCAGAAATGAACAACAAAATGACGATACAGAGTTATATAGGTATGTTTTAATTTTTATATATAGGCTCAAAGAGAAGAAAAATGAAAGTAAATAACATAATATTAAGGTAGATTTATGTATAGTTGCAGTAAGAAGTGGACAGAAGAAGTAAAAAAAGATATTAAAAACAGAAGACATCATACCATAGTAATGTTTTATTTACATTTTTTAACACATAGATCAGTTCTGCTCTTGCTCATAACTTAAAATTAGGATACAAAAGTGTTATTTAGATCACTTATGCTTTTGAGGTAAAAACAATAGAGGTTATTTTGTGTAAATTGGAGCGTGAAATGTCAGATGGATCACTTTTGCTTCTAGCGACAAAAAGAATAGTATGTAGTTAATTTACTTAGGCAAAAAATATCGATTTATACGGTATCTTCTGTTTTTCATATTCCTTACTGTTGGGATTTTTTGCGATATTCATAATAATGCTTTTCGATATTTTTCATCCAATCAGTTAAAATAATAAACCTATTTTCTACTTATCGTATGAACCTGTTTAGCGAATGTGATTATGGTACAAGGCACACATTTTTTTGCAGGTCAAAAGCCTGAATGCAGTGCCAATACCGAAAATTCTTCTGCGCATACCTCCACATTCGTAAATAGCCCTACTACTCAGTCTGCCAAACAAGAAAATGCATCATTTTCAGAGTCAGATCAGTACGCTGATAGTGCCAATTCTTATCATCCCGACGAAGAGGAATCTAGTTCTTCCGAAAATTATGAAAACATTCAAATTGAGGTGGAAGGAGAGGACGCCCTTGCAGAAAATATGACACAAATGAAATTTTAAAACGAAAACGTCGCGATGAAAGCAAATAGAAAAGAAATGTCATAAAGACCACAAGAAATTGAGGTGAAGAGTATATCAATTATAGAGGAAACCCTGTTGCAGCGAAAACGTTTACACCGGTTATTTGCAACTGCCAAAGAAAATGCAGTAATAGTGTACCTCCGAAAAAACAAAATACAATTCATTCCCAATTTTATGACTTAGACTGGAATGGTCAGACTGCCTGGATTTGTACAACTGTAAAGTTAATAGCTCCAAAACAACCAAAAAAAAGAACATACCATACACCCAGTCATAAACAGCATTGTCGACTATTTTTTCTTCAAGACTCTCAAGAATGCAAGTCATTTTTTCTAAAGGTACTTCAGATATCAAACAAAAGGCTAGATTATGCTTTAAACAAAAAAGAGATTCATATACTTTAATGCCACTACAAGATAAAAGAGGCAAAGGAACATCAGGCAATAAAATAAAAGACGAAAGACTTTAATGACTTCACAACGAGTTTCCCTCGGTACATGAGCCATTATGGTGATCGTACTTCTTCTCGCCAATATTTAGCACCAGAGTTAAATTTGCAGAAACTGTACTCACTTTATAGAGAAAAATGCCTAGACATGGGTAAACAACTAGCCAAAAAAAGTTACTATGAGGTCATATTTCGCACATATCAATTACATTTTTACATTTTTAAAAAAGATACATGTAAGGCATGTGATTTTTTGGTGTTCAAATTCAAAACGAAACGGATGCCGTAAAAACTATGCAGATTAAACAAGAGCAAGGCAATTACCATCTTCTTGCTTCTAAAGTTAGAGATTTGTTAAATAGCTACAAACAAATTTCTCTGAGTGATGGCAGTACATCATGTTTGATGAATTTTGACCTACGACGTACCCTTCCAACCCTTCTGGTACAAACTGGAGAAGTTTATTATCTAAGACAACTTCAAACTTTTAATTTCGGGACGCAGATAACTAAAAAATAATATACCCGCAAACACAAACACTCTTTATACTTTTAGTGATTCATGCTCTGGGCAAAATAGGAATTGGAATACGTTTCATTTTATGATGTATGTAGTGAATTATTCTAATCCAGCTATAACGGAAATAATCGTTTGTTTCCTTGTAAGTAGACATTCATTTCTACCAAATGACTTCGACTTCTCAGATATTACAAAAGCCCAGAAGTGAAAGGAATTTGTTTATATTCCAGAGGAATGGATGTTACTGGTGGAAAATTGCAGGAAAAAAAATCCATTCATTGTTAATATGTTAATAATATGGTGGGAAATGTTAATGACTTTGGGTAAAGGTGGCCAAAGTACTAATGGAAACCGTGTGCTAATCTCAAAGATGCGTAAAATCAGATTTGTGAAAGGTGATATTAAACTTTGCTTAATAGCGACTACTCTGATGTTTACGATAGTGTTGAGTTAAACAAATCAGGCAATACCAAAACAAATTTTGAAACATTACATTCATTTAAACCAACAGAAGTAAAAGATAACGCAAAACCCATAACTCATGCTAAAATGCAGGATCTTAAAAAATGCTACAATATGTTCCACCCATTTATCACCACCTTTATCTAAATTTGTCACATATTAACCGAATAGGTCATGCCATGCAAGAAGAGGACATTAACATTCTGCCAAATGTACTGGGTGATGAAAATGAAGAAGATCAAGATTAAGAAAAATGTTTTTTTAAGTTTTTGTCTAAATTTTCTATTAAAATAATAAAGTTGGTACTTTTTGATCCTCAAATTTGTCTTTTTTTGTTTTGTCGTTTACGAGATACAGGGTGTTGATTGTTTTGTTATGTACGAGCCCTGACGTAAGTGAAAGTTACCATAAATTTTCCTTAGTGACGCTACTGGTTTCCTAGATTTTCAAAAATCACACCATACAAGGCTGTAAAGTTATTTGCAACAATCCTGGCCTCTTCGAACATATTCGGCAATCCATTAAACGTCGAGGGGATGCTTATATTTGAGCTTTAATACTACTTTTATATTTATCACAATTTATTGCTTCTATAAAAATAATAAAAAAATAAACACCCTATATCTCATAAACGACAAAACCTATGACACATGTTCATAGGAGCTTTTCATCTTAAAATTGAACGACGAATCGCCCACATTATTTCAGATTACCTTGGAAACACCCTGTATACACTCATGCAGACTTCAAACTGTAAAAAATCACCTCACTATGTGGTGATTTACAAAGATGAAGTTGTTACATAACGTGATTAGCTGGTAATATCGCTTGATAATTGGGATATTTGGGAAAAGTCTTATTATTTTTCATTATTTGCAGAGTTAAAATAAATTATGAATAAATTCAGATAAAAAGACAAATTTTGCATTTCCAAAATCTGCATTTTTAAAATGTCGGTAAACTTTTAACTCTTGGACTTATTTTCCTTCTTAAACTTTTAACCCTTAGGTTTAAATTTTATTATGTTCATTTGTTACTTTTTAAAAACATTTTTGGTACAAAATTAGAAATATATTTTTAGATTTTTCATTAATATTCTTGACTTAAAAGAGTTAAATGATGTTTTAAAAAGATTACTATCCTGTATAAACTATTAAAATGAAATTTTAACAATGTAAATGTATTATGAGAATTTTTTTTGACATCCCATGCATGGGGATTATTGCTTAAAAAAAAAACTATAAAATTATTACATTTTTATTTCTTACTATATACCACACTTCGAGCAAATGCAATTTATAATTTTTTTTTTAAATTTACTGATTTTTATTTGATACAGGCTAGCAAAATTTTATGTAGTAGATAAAATTAAATAATAAAAATACAAAATAATGAAATATGATAAGACGAAAAAGCCTTTAGTACGGTTTTAAAAATGAATAACGTATAAAGATGCAGCAATTTTGTATTTTTATTATTTTGAAATTATTGCAACTAAAAACGTGTTCAATATATCCCATCTAAAATATTCCCTAGTATTTTAAAAAGAAAATTTTAAATGAAATACACCCCTTTTCTAACATCACTAAATAACGATTAACAATTTTTATCATTTTCGGCAAGGATTCCAAAAAATTAATCTCACAATTAATTCCTCCCACACTTTCGTTGTTCATATTATTTACATATACACAAATAGCAATAATTTATAATTATACCCCAAAAAAATATCGTCCTATATAATATTTTAGAAATGTTCGATCTCTTAAGAAAGATCCCATTTAGGTTGTAGTTTCGTAAAATATACATACAAATATATATCAAATTTCCTATCTAGTTAAAATGACTAGAAAATTCCAATTTTAACTTCTCCAAAATTATAAAGGATTTATTTTTTGTAGGGCTATTTTATATCACATTTTTAACGTTACTTATAAAAGTAGCACCATTATTGTTTTATAAATTTTTAAATATTTAGAATATACATATTCAGCTGTTCTTCTTAGAAAATATTTAAATAATTACAAGATTGATTACTGCTATTGTTATAAGAATTTGCATATTTTTATTATCCTAAAAACGCGTGAAATATTTTTGTAACTTACATCTTAGCATATTTAGCATATCTATTTGGCATTTGTCTTAGAGATAAAATTAAGGTAATCAAAATAGTCATATTTCGTCCTTTATTTGATCATTAGATGTCTATTACCAATATATACAGATTACTTGTTCAGAATTAGCATTTCATTCTAAGGCAGATCATCTTTTTTGAGAATTCCTCTCAACATCGACACGAATTTGAATAAGCCAAAAATCAAGGTGAATTTAAGCTGAAAATATTCCAGTATTGTGTGAACATTACACAACATCAAATTAGTGCTATATATCGTTGATAGATTTGACCATTGTTTAGCAGCAGATTGTATTTGGATCCTTTTGAATTCAGTTGTTGCTATGCGACACATTATAAACATCCTTTAATTCATTTACTTTTTTAAATTTTAAGTTCTAGTATTTTATTCTTTTTTATGTTCTTATTTAGAATCATTTTCATCTTTTATTCAGATTTTGTTTTATATTTGTTATGGTTTAAAATGGTCATTCTAAATATGTCTCAAAATTAATATGGTGTATCAACTTCAGTTGGAAACTAAATACATGAAAAAATTTTTTATTATAACGAATACATGGTGATTAAAAATGAATTGAAATTGATCGTAGCGAGAACAAATGTGAAATCTTTAAATGTTTTTTTACTTTAGCAGTAATCCACCTTGGAATTAACATTTTTTTAACAAATCTTAAGTAACTATGATAATTTGAGCTGAAAAAGGCATTTCATTAAATATAATAAGGCAGCTAGATTGGACTTTGGTTAAATAACAAACTTCACACAAATGGATTTTCATATTTTTTTTATTCTAATATAAAGTGCCCAGTGTGAATAAGGTTAATAAACAATATCCAGTTTTCTTTAACACTCATTTAATTTTTAGATACCCAACTTCCATTAATAATATTATTATTTATTTATACAGGGTAGCTAAAAATTCTGGCAACAAGGTACCTTTTTTTTAAACGAATGAACTTATAATTATGAAATCTCTATGGTGTTGAATGAGATTGTATTCCGCATTTTTTAGAAGATATTATAAAATGTATGTGACTTCCGTGTTTTGCGTACCGTCATCTTGATTTTTTAAATAATTATGTACTGGCAGTTTTAACACTACCCTGTCTCCACTCATACGGGACACGAAAAGGCAACGGGAATCTTATGCTATAATCAGGTGGTTAGTTTATTTGGTACTACTGAAAATGTAAATAAATTTAAATCAGTCTTGCTCACATATCTGGTTAAAAATGCTTTTCACTCGACTGCTAAATTTCTCAATTCAGCGAAATAAAAATTTTGTAATCTGTAATGTAATGTCTCTACTTATGTAAATTTTATATTCTATGCATGTTTAATAATTTAATTTTATTATTAATAAATTTTACACCCTAAATGTCCTAGAATCTGTATATAAGATGGGAGTGCATGAGAATTGTTATTTATGAATGGATGGTGTGTAGGCTTGCTCTGACTAGACTAATAAAAAATTTGTGTAGACAAAAAAAAAACTATGTAAATTTTTTTTTTTTAATAAAGTTGAAATGAAATAGGCTATTCTATGAGATATCACCCCCGACCACGGTGATGGTTTTTAAAAACAAAAGAAAACGTGGCTAAAATTGATCACAATTACAAGAAAAAATTCGCTAGGTCCTCTAATGTATTTTTGTCAACAAGGAGGATTTCCAACTTTCGAACATTTCTGCCAGTGGCGGCTCGTGAGCTACGAAGGTGGGGGCGCCAATTGGCTTGAGGTTGAGGATTATGAAAAATTGTTTCTTTATTTTTTCATTAACATACAAAAAATACCACACTACACTGCGCCTTGTCATTAGTCAATAAACAAAATGAAATATATTTCTTACAGTAAAATTCTTACAAAAATAAGTATTCTAAAAAAAAAAAATTAATCATGAAAATTGACATATCTATATTTTTAATATTTGTTTATACGAAAGTTTATGGCATGACTTCCTGAAATTGAAATTTGCTCTACGATCCTTCATTGAAATACATTTTTCCATGACTTTTTTCATCAAAATTATTTATCTCCAGAACTAAATTTCTATTTATTGATATCATAGCTAAGGGTTTAGTCTCTCATTTACCATGGTGCTTCGTAAAAATTCCGTGAAAACTCTAAAACAACTTTAACACTTTTGCTGTCCAAGCTTTAATGCTAATTACACGTTCTGGCCCATCGGTATACGAACATTTAGAAGTTTGGACGTTCATTAACGTCATGGGCCATACACAATGAAAATCTAAAAATTTATTCTGGGGAATAACTATTATAATAGGGTGATTATAAATACGGATAGAAGTTAACACAAAAAGAGAAAAAATATAGACCTCTACAGGATGTCAAAGAAGTATATTACCGGGCCGCTGACTGATGGTGTACTTATAAATTCATTTATCGATCAAGGTAGTCAAGCACTTAATGAATGGGTGACCCGAGACTATAAGTTCTTGGGAGCCTATCTAGGGAGTGAAATAAATGAGGAATTAATAAATCGAAAGAAGTAGGGTACAATAGTGGTACAATAATTGTACCACCATTGGCTAATTATTAGCCAATGTAGCTGCAGCCACCATGTCAAAATCTTGTAGGGACGTCCAGCCTTCCCTACATTCAAGGCGGAAAGTCAAAAACAATCAAGAGGAGTTTAAAAAGAAGTCTGAAAGGATGAAAAAAGACGTAAACTCTTCATCATAGTTCTATACAGGCTTTCCCATTAGTGCATAATTGCTTGATATTTCAATTTGTTTTATGGACACATGTTTTGAATAAAAGTTATGTGGATTTGAAAAAATATACAGGGTGTTACGCTTTTACCTGGAAAGTAAAAATAAGTTTCTAAATGGAACACCCTGTATTTTATTTCAGTTTTAGAGTGGGGTTATAAAGACAATTCACTGCATGGCGGCTTGTCTATATTCATAGTAGCATACATCTTCAAATGACTTTACAAAACTTCATGGGAATGGGGGAAAGAACTATCATGACGTTAATGAACGTCATGGGTACCAAAAGTGTTAATAAAGCAGAACAAACGCCTGAACTCTCAATTAATGTGAGGTATATTTATTGATAAGATAAAGTGAGCTTATTAGAACAAAATAGCTACATGTACTATTTTTTATAATGATTTTCCTTAGGAATGAAGTAACACTTCAGCAAAGGCTACTATTTCTTGCTTGCGACATATGAGGCACAGAATAATAGTGGTCTAACTTCACTTTCTTTCATATAGTAGTAGGTGATTTTAATTTTCCAGATATTAAATGGCCAATTACTTCTATACCTGACACGCAAAATGTTACCAGTCAGTTCATGGAATTTATCCACAATTCTAGTTTTGTTCAACTAATAACCCAACCCACGAGATTTAGAATAAATCAGGAACCTTCTACACTCGATCTATTACTTACCAATGATGAACAACTCTTAACTCCACTGGTGTATCTTCCACCAGTTGGAATATCTGATCATGCAGTCATAATGTGCCGTTTACAATTTCAATCATTCTCTTCTTGCACATCCAATCACACGATCTTCTCACTCACAAACTTTGCTGAAGTTTTTTCCTATCTAGACCAACTAGACTGGATTAATATTATCCCTGAAAACAATGATCCGAGCTGCATTTGGAATATCTTTCAAAATACAGTTGATTGTGTAAAATCTCATACTAAAAACAAAATAAACAGAAGAACAAATCTCAAACACTGGTTAAATAATCAACTGCTGTCTATGGTAAAACATAAGAAACACCTATGGAAAAAATTTAAGCGAACCAACAATATGAACGATTTCTCTGCTCATCGACTATTCTCCAATCAACTAAAGGCCACAGTTATCGAAGCAAAGTATAACTATCAGGAGTACATCGCCAACTGTGCTGATATCAAAAAGTTCTATAAATATGTTAGAACAAATCTGACATCCAAAGTATCCGTACCTCTTCTACAAAAAGAAAACGGAGATAAGTGTGCCAACAATACTGAATCTGCTCAACTCCTTTCTGACACCTGTAATGTCTTCACCCTTGAAGATATGACATCACCACTTCCGGATATTTCACTGAACAGAATACAGGCGTATATTTCCAACGTATCGTTTGACTCAGACATAATAAAAAACAAACTTTTTTAAGTTTAAGTCCAACTCTTCGCCAGGCTTAGATGGTATCTCCTCTTTTCTTTTAAAATCTTGTGCTGACACTCTCTGTTATCCCATTTCCCGTATAATGACTTCCTCCTTTAATTCTCACATCTTGCCATCTATATGGAAGACTGCGTCAGTGACTGCCATATTCAAAAAGGGCAATAAGCTTGACCCAAATAACTATAGACCGATAAGCCTTGTACCAATAGTTTGTAAAGTAATGGAGTCCATAATATGTGATAAGGTTACTGACTTTCTTGAAAACGAACGGGTACTTCCCACCCAACAACATGTCTGTCAATGACTGGACAAAAGCCTTAGATGCTGGTCTTCCTACAGATGTTGTATATTTGGATTTTTCTAAAGCCTTTGATAGAGTTCCAAAGCACCGACTTCTCAAAAAGATTGAACACCTAGGAATCCGAGGCAACTTAATAGCTTGGGTAACGGATTTCTTAACCTCCAGACAATTTCGCGTAAGAGTTGGTAATAGTTTCTCTCAAACCAAATCCGTTGTCAGTGGAGTGCCTCTAGGATCAGTCCTTGGTCCCCTACTTTTTCTATTATAAACTGCCGATATTTCTGTGCACATAAGAAGCTGTTGCTCCTTCTATGCAGACGATACAAAAAGCTACGCTAATCCAATCAGTCTCTTCAATCTGATCTAAGTGCGGTATCAAAGTGGAGTTCAGACTGGTTATTACCGCTAAACGTTGATAAATGTGTTGTTCTTCATATCGGTAAAAACAATCCTAAATTAATGTATAATATTAATAATAATGCCTTAAAGACAGTATCGTCCCAAAATGATCTCGGCGTTATCATTACTAAAGACTTAACGTGGTCAGAGCATATATTATCAGTATGCAAACAATCAAACTCTCAACTATTCTTATTAAAAAAGACTTTTGGCAATGTTTCTCCCTCAACGTTTTTGAAAATATACGCAACATATGTTCGTCCTCGCCTGGAGTACTGTGGTCCTGTTTGGTGTCCCGTATTAATCTCGGATCAAAATAGGTTAGAAAATGTGCAGCGACTTGCAACAAGGCTTCCATATACTGGTATTGTTACAAAAGTAAAAATACTTTTTTCTTCATATTGTATAGCCATCCATTTATTTCTTTGATTTAATTTCCATTTTGCTACTGAAAATTTATATAATTTTCACTGCATTTTTTTGTTAGTTTTGTATTGTTTTTACCTATTTTTAATTATGTAAAATGTATTATGTGTATTTGATACACCAAAATTACCAAAAATATGGCCCTAAATTGCTCGAATTATCCACAGCATGGGCTAGTATCGCTTTTGCTTGCCTTACCATGACTTCCAATTAGTAGAATGCACTATTAGGTCTGTTCTAACAACGATCAGAAACCAGTCATTGACACTAGGATTATTCGTTGTACGAATTGGCCAGTCTAAATAATCTACTGCGCAGAATCCTGGTGTCAATTGACTAGTTTCGGATCGTTGTTGGAACAGACCTATTGCTTTGCAAAGTAGTATTTTGAAACATTTTCATCACTTGATTAGTCACTATTGAAATTTATTGGTGACTGCAGGTAAAATAGGGTATTCTGTAATTTTCAATGGGGATTATCACTGTTTGACTCTGGCAACAACACTGGAATACTACACCGCAAAAAATTACAACTCATTTTTTACCTATCAGAAATGAAAGTATAACTGAAGTTTAATTTTCAACAATAAGACTAGTTTATTAAGTTTATAAAAAATGACAACGATCAAAAGCAGTGTAAACCAATCACATACAAATTATTTTTATTGCTGTGGTTTTCTAATATTTTGAGATTCCTTTATACAAAAACTACTACGTCTAAGACCTAAATATATTCGAAACATCAATTAAGTCACTGCTAAATGGCTGTCAAGAAAATTTTAAAAAATTTGTCTCTCATGTATTTATCTCAGCACGAATTTGTCACAGCAAATTTTTCGTGCACAGAATGTTCTCACGCTAAAATGGATTGGTTCCTTCTTCCCCAACTTATGAACGATTTTATTTAGCTGCAGTATTTATATTTAAGATAAATTAAAATAGTAAATGATGTAAAGTTGAAAATTAAGCTCCAGTTAGTTGTATTTTTCACTTGATAAAAGTTAAAATAAGCTGTGATTTGCACGATTGTACTTCGGACAGGTTAAAAATGAACCGACATTTTTTCGTCGCAAATATACTAGCGAATCTAGCAGATAACGTATCCTGATTAATTTAGCAATTTTTTTTTTGAATGTTGAAACACTTTACTGCACTCGACATAAATTTGGTATGTCTTCTAAAAAATGCAGAATACACTCGTCAGGCTACAATTATTTTATAATTATTCATTCCCTAAAAAAAATATACCTTATTGCTCGACTTTTTAGCTATAGAATAAAAAACTATAACCAGTAGTTTATCTTTGTAGTTGTTTCATAATTTTTTAAATTATTTCAGTTTAATCATTTTCTATTTTTATAGTCAATTGACAAGCTTCGAGAAATATAGAACCTTCTTGGTGCAAGTTTTGACCAACCACAGTTTAATTTTTGTATACAATATCTAGATGATAATTTAAATAAAAATGATTAGAAAATACTTGTTTACTGAAACATTTTTCATATTTATTATGCATTCTGCATTGAGAACCTTACTCACACCTTTGCGAAATTATACCAAATAAAAAAAATTAAAAACACAAAAAACACTTACCTTCTATCAAAGGGAAAAACCTTTTCTCCGTTCAAATAATAGTTATATAACGAATAACGAAACGGCGACGACTTTTGGCAAGAGAGGGAGCAGGCAGCAGTGGTACGTTAAAGCCTCCGCCCTACTTCGAAAACCTCAATAGACTCAAAAAAAACGGGGTTCCACCCCTTCCGGTTACCAACTGTCACACGTATACGGGCCCGCCTTGATTATCTTTATCATCGAAGCTAATCTTGTTGAAGGCAGTAAGACCGCCATCATCGAAGAATCGCCTGAACGTGAATTCGAAGAAGCCGTGAAAGAGATTTGAATTGTCAACCAATTCGTCCGAGTTGCTTGAATCTATCGAGTTTGAATTGTGCAGCTTGTCGGGATCGATGGGATCGAAGTTTGACGTATCTGTGGGGTAATCTATGCGGGGCTTGTGAGGGGCGGGCTGTCGTCTGAGGCCCTTTTCGAAATCAATGTCTTTAAAAAAGGGGTGAGATTTCACTTCACTAGCATTTTTGCCGAGGCGCTTGTCAGCACTACAACACAATTTTAATATTAAGTCCCTACTTTCTTGAGATAGGTTGGCTTGTTTCGGAATTTGGAGAGTCGTTTCCCAATTAATGACCTGCAAGATGTGCATAAAATAAATAGCAATCAATTAAGGAATAAAGATAATTACCTTATACTGTGTTTCGGCAGGTGTGTTAGCTAAAAATGGTGGCTGCCCAACCAACATTTCATATAAAATGACACCGACGCTCCACCAATCACAAACATGGGTGTATCCCGTTCGCTGCAATACTTCGGGAGCTATATAATTCGGTGTTCCGACTAGGGAATGTGCTAAACACCTATGCTCTCTCCTCCTTCGCCTTTCTAGGGGTTTGCAATTACATTCTTCATTCCAATCATCTATGGGGTCCATAGAGTCTTGTCTACTGTGATTTCCTAGGTTGAAAATTATAGAATTGGTTAGTTAGTTTTGAAATATTTCTGTTGTTTTATTTTAAATGTAAAAGACGAGGGGTGAACCAGACCTGAAATACTGGTACAAATAGAAATTGATATCATTTTGTAACAGCACAGATTTATATCAAATAAGTCATTATGCACTCGAAGAACAACAGAACTTTAGAAGTCCATACAACATACACAGGCTTCTCAAAGGCATACTATAGGATGGATCACAGTATTCTGTTGTAGAAATGATATAATCTTGGTTTTGATTCCTACATCTTAGACTTCTTTAAGTCATATTTCATGCTGGTTCTCTTTATGTTGAATATAACGGTTACAATTCAAACTTTTTTGTGGCTGTATTATTTCATTCACATAGGCAAAGACTTCAAGAAGAAATATGTAATATTTGCTGATGATTTGTCCCATAAATTCACAAAACGATTGTTTAGACCTTTGAATATAAATAGTCAGGAAGGAGGAATCTTAAACGACTTTGGAATCGCGATGGTATCTAATTTTGACAGTCAACTAGACGAATATGGCGACAAGTGTTTCCGGTCTACCAGTGACGTACTGTCATAAGGGTGCGTAGAAAAGAGAGTAATAAATTCTTATTTGCATATTATCTAAATTTACGGATTTCTCTCATTTTAACGAATAGCTATTTTCTTGCGAGAAGTTTGTATTTTTTTTTTAATTAATCATCGTTATGTGAATTAATTTTACTTAAAAATTGCATGTTGGGTGGGATAAATATAGGGAAATATTTTCGGAATAAATTATAGAGGGATTTCATTTTTGAAAAATCAAAGCAATAATGTATTAATAAAAGAAATTTTGACTTTTTTTACGTCTTTATTATGACAATATTTTTATTAATTTAAATTTTACAAATGGTATAAATTTTACAAAAACAGTATGTCGTGTTTATTAAGGTTTGAAAATTAAATATGTTTTGTAGATGCGTTAAAAAATAGTACATTTGTTCAACAAAAGTGGATATGTTGGCCATATCGCACAAAGACGAAATTTGAGCACAACGCCGTAGGCATGTATTTATGTTTGTAATTATATTATGCAAGCCTAAGTACATAAAAAAACTTCCTAATATCGAAGAGAAGATCTGATCATTTTATTACATAATATTATTAGTAATATTTTTTGCAGGACTTAAATTTTGCATAAGTTGGTATTACACCTTTGTATGAAAGGATCCTATAAAGTAATAACGATTCTGTGAGTGCCAAATAGATTATTTTTAAATGTACATTCAAATTTGATCGCAGAAATTTAAATTTTGGTAAAAGGCAACGCATTATTTATATGCTTAGTCCAGTTAAGATGAGAGTTAATTTGTACTCCAAGGTATTTGATATCATTTGTAATACTTATATGAAACTGCTGAACGTTACATTTAATTATGTTTCTGTAGGAAGAGGGCATATTTTTGTAACTGCATAATGAAACAACATAAGTTTTATCAAAGGTTTGTAAGTTTTTATAATTGAACCATTCGACAATTTTTATAAGATCTGTTTCCATTAATAATTTTAATCAATTTCAGTTCTCTGCATTTTACAGGATAGCTGTGTCATCTTAAAAACTTACAATAGTTCCATCTGTATATAAACGACAAATTATTTAAAATAAAATTAAACAACATAGGACCTAAGACAGTATCTTGAGGTAGTATGCGATATGCAACTATTATTTCCTTACTTACGGTATCATTAATTCTAACTATTTGTGTTCATCTTTGTAAATAACTTTGTAATAAATTATATGGAGTGTTTAACATTCATACAATAAACTTCTAATATATGAAATTATATTTATTGAAACAAATCTGGATATACGGTACTGAGCTCTGTGGGGACAGCAAGCAGCTGGGACATTCACATTTTGCGACTATTCTAGAGCAAAGTGCTTCGGACTGTAGTAAATGTATTTAGTACGTGTGAAATGAAATTAAAGAATTAAGAGATTTTGGCTCACAATTAGTTTCTTGCATGAACTCAAGCCATAAATTTCTTTTTTGAGAATCTTTAAGAAATCTGAAAATTGTTTACCTGGGATTAATTTATATAATTTGTAAATCTAGAATCTTTAAGAAATCTGAAAATTGTTTACTTGCATTGATTTATACATCAAAATTGAGCAATAATTTATTCATTTTAACAACCACAAATATATTAAAATTGCCTAAAAGATTTGTTTAAATAGAATAAGTCTATATACCCTATAATCCATGAGACTACGCCTATGAGCACAGTTGATCACATACATACTTATCATGTTTGTTTACAAATTTAAAACATTAAAAATTTAAAAAATCTTTGATGTCGTTGATAATTGAGAGAAGAAAATACTTGCTTATGAAATGTAGTCCCTTCCTTTCTACTTTTAGCTGTGCTGCTGTATCCACAAGAGCAACAACTGACCATATTGTAATGTGTCTTTTAACGCGGAAAACTTAAAATTAACACTTATACTGACCAAATACTAAAACACTAAACACTTTTTAAAAAGGTCTACAAAACATACGTCTGATAAATTTTAAATTAACACATAAAATATCCAAATTATTAACAAATTTTAATCACTAAAATTAGGAACCAATTTTAGACACCATTTGTCATATGATGATGAGTCATCCATAGTACAACATGGCTACCACTTCCGTCAGATTGATTAGATTAACGCAGACATAGCATGCTCCTTCCTGACTATTTATATTCAAAGGTTTAGACTTACTAAATGATTTAGATAAAATTGTAATTTTGTATACTCAATACAGAATAAGGGGGGTGGGTGGCTCAGTGGTAGAGTCTCTGCCTGTGGATCCAAGGGTCCCAGGTTGGAATCCCACCGTTGGCCGGGATTTTTTTATTTAATTTAATTATTTAAAATTAATTCTGATGCCTTGGTAGGATTCCCCACTCGACCATTCACTGTTGGGTTCTAATTAACAGTGCTGTTCCTGAAGTGGCGCTGGGAAACAGTAACAAAGCCTACATAGAACACACATGATTGAGAATTTAAAACACAAACTTGAGACTGGCATATTAGGTATATACACCTAGGCCATAAATCGAAAAAAAAAAAAAAAAAAAAAAAAACAGAATAATCCACTTGATGAAGTGGATGCAATAAAGGATTTGGGAGACGAATTTCACAAGAAGTTTTTACCTCGTTTATTTAATATTACATCCACAGCTAAGAAAATGCTTGAAATTATTTTGAGAAGTTGCAAGGATTTCATTGTCTTGAATATGCGGCACTGATATGGTCATCCATGTATATCTACCATAAATTATTCATTGAATCTATCCAGAGCAGATTTATGAAATATGTTGCATTTAAAATTGATGGGATTTATTCGGAAAGGGGAATTGATTCTGTTTTATTGGGTAAATTCTTTTATATCCCTAGAAGACATGAGAGTACTGCAGGATATAATTTTTATTTATAAATTAGTTAAAAAGTCAAATAAGTCGATTAATAATACCAATGAATCCACTATTTATGTGAATGAACAACTTACAACTACTAGTAGGAACTTGTTTACCATGGCGTATAAAATAAAAACAATGATGGTTATAAATTCTTGTGGACAAAAAATGGCAAAGTGTATATAAGAAAATATGATGGTGAACCTTCAGTTCGAATAAACAGTAAAGAAGACATAGATCGTCTAAGTGACAGTAATAACTAATGTAAATAAAAAACTATGTTTGCGCCGCTAACGCGTCGCGCGCAACTTTCTGTCTCAACTGCCAAAGTGCTACTTTCTTTTTTTTTAGAAATAGGTTACCTTCTTTTTCGTAATAATATTGTAAATTTATTTCGAAGAGAAAAAAATGTTTTATGTCGATAAATATTTATGATTTAATCATTTATTTATTTACGTAAAATACTGTTGAATGATTTAAAATATTAGGAAGTCAATTAAAATATTCTAGATTAGCCTACATTTTGTTTTAAAATACCGATTGGCTTTCTTTTTTTTTTAATTCAATTGAAAATAGATAAACGGTGCCAACGTCACTTTGGCCCACGTGTGTGCCAATAATGTCAAATTATGACAGTTCGAGGAAAACGTCAACTTTCTAGTTAGATTTGAATGTACAAAAGCCTACCTTTGACAGTAATCGTAGAAAAAGTATTTTTTTTAAATCACCGAAAACAAATTTCCACGCCGAAAATAAATGCAGATTAAAAAAAAAGTTGATAAAAAAAAAACAAAAAAATAGCCAAAAAAGGCATTTAAAATATTTCTCAAGAAAATTTATAGATCCTTAATTGGAAATTATTTATGACTTAGGTGAAATCGCTGAAATCATATAAAATTAAGGTGGAAAAATCTATAGAATATACATTTTGATCTTAGTGGTACCCCTCGGTATAATATAAACATGTTCCGTTTGTCTATTCTGACTTGAACTTGCTCTATTATTAATTTTAACGAAGACGTATTGGCTACATTCTGTGATTTGATTATGTCAATCCTACAGTATTGTTGCAAAAACTTCCGAGTTTATGGAATCAGAGGCAAAGCGCTAAGTTGGGAAAATCTTATTCTTTAGAATATAAGCAAATAGTAAGAGCTAGTCAGGACATTAGGGAGTCCATCAGAGTTCTGTGTTGGATCCCATTTCATTCCTTCTTAATAAAAATGATTTAGCTCGACTTAACATTGGTAGGTACTTTCACTTTATTTGCTGATCTGTCCTATTAATTGAAATGGACGTATCTACAGAAACAGTAATTTAGAGAAAAATAGATTATAATGATCTGAGTTTGCCCAAGCTTAAAAAAATAGTGTTACATTGAAATTCATATATGATATTTGATTTTAAGGTTGAATTTATGTGTACATGCTGCCAGAACATACACTAACACAGTGATCAAAAATGTAGTTACTTTCAATTCAACTAATGCAGCAGTGATGACTACGATTTTATGTCGCCACAATGACACCTGCGTTCCTTATAATACCATATATCTTGTCACATTATGAATATCAAAACATGGTATGATGCCAAGTACTTGTCTAAATATGGGAAGAAACTAAAATGCTAACCCTTAAATGTTCCCTACCAAATATTCAGAGGAAGTCATAATATTGATGAATGTACTGATACAACATTTCTGGAAATTAATTCAGACAATTAAGAACCATACATAATTGCTAAACAAAAAACTTTCTTCTGGATATTTTGCAGTCAGAACTTTAGCAAAAGAATTAGGTTTTCAACCTATCGATGATTTAGTGCACACATGTATTAAGTAACATTTCATATCATATCACAATTTAAGCTTAAAGTTGTTTTTTCACATGAAATGTATCTATCAAACCGCTTCAACAGTTCTTCGTTGTTTCTGATTACATAATAAAGCAAAATATAGATAAATTATTTGTTAACATATCAATAGGTACATGCATTCAACACAATTTCTCCCAAAATTTCACTTAAAACATGTGTGTACTAAACCTTCGATATTATGCTCTAGTTGAGTTACATTTAAGATATATGGAATTCCATTTTAAGGTGGTTGTAGCTGTGATAAAACTATTGTAACAATGTACTTTCATATTTCCAAATTTTCGGTCAAAATGTAATGGGACAGTGATTAGATATTCCTGTGTGCTCATTGATAAAAAATTGATTGTTATTTTTTGTCGAATTTCTAAAAAATTTCAAATATTCGCTATCTGAAATCAGTTTAAATAATTTAAAATATTTCGGTGGTGTTTTTGTCCAATTCTTAACAAAATGTAGTTATTGTTGCATTTTCGACAGATGACACAAAAGGTAAGGACACATTTCAGCTACTTGAAATGTTTGGTTCTCACAGCAAAGACCTAAATGTTATCTGTTTACCATCATACTGAGTTAAAAATTATACTTTTGGTGCATTTATGCAACTGTGTTTAACTAGTTTGAAATAAACCAAAGGTTTCATATCAATAAGAAAATTATCTAGTTAATTTTTATTTAAAAACTAATTTGATCTTTTTCTTAGAACTTACCATTTTGTTGATAATATTTTGAATTATGAGTCCATCTAAAACCGGTACATAAACCAAAATCAGTTAATTTGATGTGCCCGTCTTTGTCTATAAGAATATTGTCAGGTTTTATGTCTCTATGGATAAATCCCATTTTATGGACGCTTTCAACGGCACATGTTAATTCTGCTATGTAAAACCTGAAATGAAATAATTTTTGGATTCTTAATCAGTGGATCTAAAGGGGAATTACATCATTCAAATCATTTTGCTTGTTAGCAGATTATAGTAGTAAATTGGGTTTCATGGAAGGTGGCTGAGTTTTCGAATTGCTAAAAATGTGTGATTGTCTCATGAAGAAATAAATACACTTTTAGGTTTAAGTTTAATTACTTACCTTGCTAATACTTCCTCAAAAATTCCTAATTTGATAAGCAACGACATTAAGTCGCCACCAGGTATGTAATCCATAACAAAATACAATATATCTGAATCTTGAAAGGAATAATACAACTTGACTACCCATTCATTATCAGCCTCAGCTAAAATATCCCGTTCCGCTTTAACATGAGCAACTTGATTCCTTTTCAGAACTTCTGATTTTCTTAAAGTTTTCATGGCATAGAGATGGTTCGTGTCAATTTTTCTCACTAAAGTTACTTCTCCAAAAGCACCTACTCCTATTGGTTTAATCCTAACGAACATGCTTTTATCCATTTTGGCTCGTTTTAACCTAAAAAATTAATAATTTCATACTGATCAATTTTCAGTTCTTGTCATAATAGAGTGTTACTGAAATACATGTACTGAAAGTGACAAGAGAGTATGGGCAAATGAGAAAAAAATTTTAATTAAACATAGTCACTCAACACAAAAATACAAAACTGGCACAGGTCTATTTTAGTACATTTTTAACGAAAATAAAAAAAAAACGACTTTAAGACCGAAAACAATAATTGCTCTAAATGGCGTTCGTTATTGATGACATGCTACTGCTCATCTTTGTAAAGAACCCCGTACTCTAGAAATTGTCGGATTCAATTGTGTGTATCGGTTCAGTTGCTACAGACGTCAGGAAGCCATAAAGAATTTGTGTTTTCTGCGAATTTTCTCCAGGAGTCCCATACACTAAAGTCATATCCGTGAAATGAATTTTGGTAAATTGCATTGTAAAAAAATACTTATAACACACATATACGAAAATTTAGCACAATAATTTGACATCGCCACAAAACAACCCAAGTAGCACCATAAAAACATTTTGGGTTTATTTCAGTTTTAATGTGGTAAACAAGAAGATACTGATTTTAAAGTTACCTTGTAGATATACTGCGGGCACTTAAAAGCCGTTTATCATTTAATACTGGTTTTAAAGTATCTAATAAGATTCGCTAATAAGGACAATTAATCTTAAAAGTTTGTATGTCTTGTTGTAGTTTTAAAATGGTTTAGTTTTAATTAACTTTAAAACTACTTAGTTTTATGAAGGACTTGCAGGTTGTTTGGTTTTATTATGTTCTAGATTATGACGTTTAATAATAAAACCTATTATTAAATCTGCTTGATCTTAGGACAATTTGGTCAGTAAATATTGCGTTTTAAAACTATATCATTACTTTGCCCTATGACGGCTTTCTTAAATGCAATTAGATAGCTATATTAAAACGGAACGCTCTTAACTAAATCAATTTGGTTATCGTAAAGACCAACTGTACTTCTCGTTAGAAACAATAAAATTAAACTCATCCCCTATTTTTACGTAGCCCAAATGAACCCCGCATTTTGTATCATGTCAAACAGGGTGTACCTACAATAATTAGAAAAACTGAAAACAATATATTATTATTATTAATCTAAAAATACAAAAAACACAAACGACTGATATGACACGGCGATTTTAAAGTTAGGTTTACATTAAAACCGAGCGGCATTTATCACAGCCGCATTAAAACTAAACCGTTTAAATCACAAGCGAACCTTTCTTTTGTCTAGGGTATGTGCTCTTGAAACAGTATAAAACTCGATTAAATAAAACCCTTTGATCTTAACGTTTCCTTGTCCATTAACTAAACGGTTTTATTTAGTTTCCGGCCATTTTACTTTCTCGAGATGGTGGAAGACATGACAGATAAAAATATTTAGGCTTACATAAAAACGACAAGTTAACCACTTAAACATATAATTTCTTTTAATACAGAAAAATCTAAAATAATAGATAAAATTATTTTTCTTTCTAATTTATGTTTTTTAATTGTTTTTTTTTTTGGAATATAAAACTTCAGAAATTTAAAGGCCCCTAAGTTTTTTAAGACTTTTTCGTTAACATTTATCGATAAAGTCGGGTGCGCAGTATATTCTGACATTCTGAAATCACTACCTTACTTTTTATTATTTTATAGTTCATGGTTAGAGCATCACCATATTATCATCTTCAAATATAAATTGCTTTTATTTGCTAAAAGAATTATGTATATAGTTTTAAAAAACTAATTTCAAATGTTAACAATAAGATAAATTATCTTTAAAAGTATACATGCAACTAACATTATTAAGTCCACTTCAAAACCGCGTGTTTAAAATGTATTTAAAGTGGTTTTAAAAGGGTATTCACAGCAGCTTTAAAATTAGTTGTTCAAGGTAATATAGTTTTATGGTAGTTTTTATTTTTGGTTTTATTGACCTCTTTCAGAGTGGGCCCTTTTATGCTGAAGGCGTATTTATTACAACCTTAAGGCTCCTTTTAAAACTAATTGGTTTTAATTGCAGTTTTATTTTACAGTTTTAAAGCATCCTTGAAGTACTGAATAAAACCGTTCGGTGCTACTTGGGAATACATGAAGGGTATGAAAAATCCCAAACCAAACGACGAAGCCTGTCTAATCTAAACATCTGAACTACTCACACAGAGCATACAAAACAAGAGTCGAAAAGGATAGACAGGCCTTGTTCACAAAAACAACGGTTGCATAGAATGCACAAGAAATAGTCAAGCGTTACGTGTTGCCACAATGTCTTTTTCGGTTAAATCTGTAGGATTAATACCGATTCATTCCCAAAGGTTCAAGAGACTTAATACTTGACTCAGTTTATTCAAGAATCTGAATCCTTTTTATAAAATTCCTCATATATTTTTTTTCTGCTTTGAATTATTGGTGTTTAAATTGGGTGTTTTTAGATTTTGTTCATTTCGATAAATCAGTTTAACTGAACAATTGGCAACCCTCTTTTGTGTATGTTTTTAAAAGCGTTGTTGGTTAGTTTATTTTAGTGGTAATTCATAGTTTTATTTGTTTAAATAGAAGAAATTATTCGAAAAAGCGATTGAGATTGCAAAATGGCAAGGAACTGCATGGTTTGCCGAAAATCTTTGAAGAAAACAACCAAAAGTATTAAGCAATCCCTATTGATTCATGAGCATGGTTTTCTGAGATTTGGAGTAGTTCTTTTGCCACGTTTTGGGAGATTAGAAGTTAAAATTTTCTCCAATACTGGTGTTATTTTTTTTGTGAAAATACAGTATTTTGCAGTTGTAAAATTAATGAATGATTTTTTTGGCAATCATTCCTATTGAGATTAAAATTGTATACAGACTGTGACTCAGGTATTCGGGTCGATGACCATAGGTGACCTAGTCTGCATAGATGACCTACACTTCAGTAGTGTACGCCTGATTTAACATACATTTTCAAAATTTAATTTTTCCTTTCTCGAAATAATATTATTGCACATGTTTCAATAACATCTTGTACAAAAATAGAAAGTAGCTGTGTTCATGACGAACCTTAAAGTTTTTCAGGCCACAACAGTGGCTTGGCAATGAGAAATCCCTACATCCCGGATATTACCAAAAACTGGATTTATGCTAATAATTACTAGACAACCCTCTACTTATGATTCATTATTAAAGATGATTTCTAGCAGTTGCAAAAAAACCTGTAAGTGAATAAGTAGCTGCAAAAAGACAGGCCTTAACTACCGTTCTATTTGTACCAACTAAAGATAGTGCAGACGATGGTATTTTGATTCAAGTGAGTGAAGAGGATGTGGAACAACCAGAAGTCTGACCCAGACACCTGGACCGTCTGGAACGACAACTTACACTAAGCTTTTTAATCGTATTTAAAAAATTAAATTTTTTTTCAACTTAAAAAAAAATGATTTTTATATGTTTGGTGTTACTGAACCAGCATGAGTGTGGAATTTTTTTATCTTCAATTCATATTCTAAACACTTTTTGATTAGATGGTATGTACTCAGTACTTACTAAATTGTAGTTTTACAAGTTTCAGATACATGTGTAGTATGATTAGATTATACCTTATATTTTGGCTGGGGAACTGGAAAGGCATGTGGTAAACACATCAGATATTTGTAAATAAAATAGTCGAAAAACGAATAACTTAAGTGTTATTGAGAAAAAAAAAATCTACGTCCATCTAGATTAATAGAATAAAGTGATACAGAATTTGCTAAAAAAATACCAACCTAATGTAATTAGATTCCTTCTGTGACAACATTTTCCTCATTTGCGTTTGAGCTTCAGAGCTAAGACCTATCTTATTCATTTCTTTCTCTAATTGCATGCGCCTAAATAATCGTTGCTTGTATGATTTCATAACATTCTCGATATGCTGTTCCATAAAAAATTTAAATGCTTGAGGTGAGTAATTTTTCACCTTTCCATCTCTCCTTTCCTCTTCTTTTTCTTTGCTAATTTTCTTGCGTTCCGGTATAGGTGATTGGTGTTTTATTTTGGTGTAAGGTGGCAGTTGAGGAGGCATATCGTTGGTTTTGTTATCACTATTTCCGTTTACTATGTGGTTGTGATTAGCGTTGTTTTTCACAGAAGAAGAGGCTAAAATGTAGTCAAATTTTATAACAAAATTTTACTAATAATACAATAAAGAAATCACTGATGTTCAAAAATGTGTTTGCTTAAAATGGACATACATATAAGCTCAAGCCTTTAGATGCATCTGCAACAGAAAGGAATACAATTGTTCTTGCTTGGTGTTATTGTTTACCTGCGATTAGTTTGAGCTTATTTGTATATGCGTCTTACGAGTAAAACAATAATTTAGTACCTGTAGGAGGTAAGGGTGGTGCTCCACTATCCGAATACTGATTCCTACTGTCACCACTACTAGTAGACTGTGGACTATCCGATCTGCATTCATTATTTACTACAGGAGAGTATTTTCTTGTCAGAGATGGATGAACATGAGGGCTAGCTCTAGGTGACATGGAACTGTCAACTGTATAAACCTATAGGAAAAAAGTTCTATTTAAATACATTGATCAAATATTCTTAAGAAATTAATATATTTGTTATCATATTAATAAAAAATTATTTTATTAGGTATATAATCTATTTTTTATGAGCTGCAAACAATATTTGGAAAAGAACTAAAATCAGTAAAAATGTATAAATATATCAAATGTTTTTGTTAAAAGTTTGGTTAGAAGTTAACCGTAAGTGGAACCAAAATTTGGTCACACTAAAATGGCGTATTGTTTTAAAATTTCGATTTTCTATAGTTGATTTTATAAAAAAAACTTTTTATTTGTTTTTAGTAATTCAATCATATTAATTAACAAGAAAAATGGTTCCCAAATCAATTGCAGAAATATTTTTTGTACAATTTAGAATATTTTTAGCATATTTAGTAAAAATATTCTTCCTCAAGAACTGATTATATCAAAACAATCGCATTATGAGTGTATCTGTGTCCCAAAAATTTAAAAGCAATTGGATATTTGTTAACCAAAATACATGGGTGTTATAGTGAATGACAGGCCGCAAAAGTAAAGCAGCTTTGCTATCTAAACATTTCGTTTTATTTTCAGTTTACCTTTTAATTCTGCCGGCGATAATTTTTTTGTTATTATAAAATAGTAGTCTATAATTCACATGCACATCAAATTTGAATAAAAACATTTTAACTGAATAAGAGAAAACTAAATAAATTGTAAATCGATTTGACATAAGCACACTGACATGACAGCAATTTTTATTAAGAATATGCCTACCTTATTATTCTTATCGATCACACATCAGTTATAAGAAAAATTGGAAATAATATCATTTTGGATTTAATTTTCTATATTTTTTTAATATCTATAAGCACATTCGAATTAAAAATAATGCATGAAACACGGACGAAAAGGTTATGTTAGGACTCCTACGAGTTGCCAGGCTCGTCTATGTCTCGCCTGGCAAACTTCTCATAGTCGCCCAAAAAACTCAACGTTCCGTACTTATAACATAAACTACTATTTAAAAATTACTTATACGTTGTTTTAGTGTCTAAATTTGTTATTTTTTAAATGATTTGTATTTCTATACTGTTTATGACATGTCCATTTACAAGACAGATCGACAGAAATGCAGACAGACTGTGACTAGAGTGCATAGATGAAACATGCCAACTTCAGTGGTGTGCGTCTTATTTAACATAAATGGTTACTGCATGTCTATTTACAAGACCAACAGAAATGAATAAAGTACACAGAGCGAGTCAAGAGGAACGGTACAAACTCAAGGAGTGTATTATACCCGTGAAAATGATCTTGAAAAACTCATGATCTAATCCGATTTTCATTTGTTTCAAAGTTATAAAACAATAAAAATTCAAAAATTGTGTAACTTTATTCTAGGATTGTTCTAATGTGGAAACTGTTGACGATATTCTTCATCGAATTACCAAAAATCATAAACAAACACCGTATGTGCATAAGTGATTAGCATTTTGTAATACTTTGATCAGACAATCTAGACAATAAACGTTCAATCACTGCCACAATTCACAGACACCTTGTTAAAACAACGTTATACAAATGTTTTTTGAACATGCCCCAAGAGAGAAATTTAGATACAAGCTAAATAAACATTTTCAATAGTTCTATAACTTGAACACAAATGAAAATCTGAGAAGACCATGAGTTTTTTACATTATTTAATATAATTTCATTTAAAGTAGATATTAATATTTATATAATACAATTTACATTTTTTATCTCAGCCCACTGTCGATATTTATGCGGCCCGCCAATGAATTTTTATCACTGTAATTCATACTATTTAAAAATAAAAAATTTTGTGTTAATAAAAATTGTTTATAGTAGCGCCCGTCCTTTGCTTATAATTTTCCCGAGTGGCCCCTGTTCCCTATAAGTCTGTGCATCCCTAATCTAAACAAACCTGCATATGACTGTCATCTGTATAAGGTGGAGGTGGTAGAGGAGGATGTGAGCCCAAACCTCTTTGAGCTTTTGCCTTTGCTTGCATAGTACTCGCATAACTTGGAGGTTCTGTAGTAGGCACAATAACTGGTGAAGCGTTGTTAGAAGGACTTGGAGCCGGTAAGGGAGCCGCCGGTTTATTACCATTGGAATATCTGTTGAGTACAATAAATTATAAAATACCACTCAAAAATTTGTATTAAAAAAATATTATTTTTTTTACACTGTGAATCACCGCCACTGTAAATTACAGGCTCTGTGCATTCATTATTTTTTATTAATACCACTGATGAAAATTCATATATATTATTTTCAATAATTTAATACACTGATGTCTTAATTATCCACTACAATTACAAAAAGTACACTCAATAATTCAACTAGGCATTCCAACGACCTATCAAAATGTTTCCAGTGGGAACTGACAGTTTAGATATGGCAACAGTGTGGGCCTGTTGTCATTGACAGGGTCAATGATACATAATATAGTTATATAGATTGCTCAAAGCGGGTCGTTTGCGAGCGGACATTTTGCATTGACCCTATTAAACCACCAGGCCCACAGTGTTGCCATATTATAACCTATAATGTGGCTGTCAGTGGCCTGTCATTTCAAAAGGGCAACCATTTTGTTTGGAATGACTAACTGATAAGTTGAATAAATTAAGTAAAAAAATTATTAAAAAAAAAAAAAATAATTTTTACATGAATTAAAAATGATTATTAATTTAAAAAAAGGTATTTGTGCTAATATGATATGGAAATGTTTGAATTAGCCAACCAAACATGGCATTAAAAAAGGGACACCACATGTAGCTCATGGGAAACAATTGCCTCATGGCAACTCCATAGTATTATTTATATCCACATGCATCTACCTTAACCTATATGTGACAAAACTTCATAAAAGAAGCAAGCACTTTTGTCATATTTTACTTGAAATGAAATGCTTCGCACAAACAAAACCACTGCCCTATTTTTCAATAAGACTTACCCTTTTTGTTGAATAGAAACCGTATAAGAGGGCGGTGGAGCTGATGTGGCGGGTGGAGTGGTACTCGTTGGGGATGGTAGTTGTGGTGATGTCGGTGCTATAGCCGTTTGAAGAACTGGCTTCTGTACCTGAGTACTTTTGACGGACTGCATTATTATGGGAGGTTGTGAAATTGTTTGGCGGGCACCCCAAGCTTGCAGAGGTGTCGGCCGTGTCATATTTGTAGATGAGGAACTGGTCGACACCTAAAATATTTCATCAGCGCATAAGTTCAAGCGATCTTTTCAGAATTTGTGTGGTCCATATCTAAGTACTTACCGGTATTGGACTAGGCGAACCTGCTGAAGTAGATCCAGAATAAATCCCAGAAGAAGGACTTTTTCTGAAATCCTGAGTTGGACTCTGCCTATTTTGTATCGAGGAGGAATAAGAAGGAGGAGGCGGGGGTCCGTTGGCTGAACCCCCTGACATGAGAGGGTATGGAGGTGGGGGTTCAGAAGTAGATGCTGTACTGCTCTGGTAGAGGTTTAACGCCTGCATTTGCTGCGTCAGTTGCTGTTGGACTTGTGGCCCGTTTTGAACCACCATTGGCTGACGGCCGGACGTTGTGGAAACGCTGCTTACTGGACTAGTGCCTCTCTGCAAAAAATTGCCATTTCTAAGAAAGTCAAGTTAGGAAATATTTATGGAAATAATCAATTCTTAAAGGACAAGAGTATTAAAAATGGACCAAATTCCGAAAAGTATAACTCAAAAATATAATTACGAGTATCACAATTTTGAAGAGATCACTAACCACTAGAAAAAATATCTATGAATTGAATTACAATTTTTTGCAAAAGAATTATTTAAATATGTACATATGTGTACATTTAAATACTAAAGAAACATAAAACAAGTCATTACCACCTCATACCAAGAATTCAAACTGTATCAATAATTATATTTAAAAATGCAACGAAAATTTGTAACAGAACTTCAAGGTTCAAGATATAGGTCAAAGTGAAAACATTTGACTACACACTCGAATTGCATCACAGCGATCTCTGATTTCACTTGGGTTCAGTTGCAATAAAATAGGGAATTATTATAGCTTTTTTTAAGATATGTAAATAATTTTGTAAACAGAACGAGAATAATGAAATAGGCCTGACACCAGCAGATATTATACCCTCCTGTGTCCCTTAGAATGTCTTTTTCACGACAGCACGATATTTGTTTATAGTTTCAAATCAATGTCGTCTTTTTCTACACTGATTGTTCATAAAGATAAAAAAATATTCATGACTGATCAGCCCTTCGGATACATTAATATGATCTATAGTACAAAGTTCGAGATCAAAAACTAAATTTCACTTCACATTGTTGAGAGTCTAAACTTACTAAACCACCCGAAGATTTAGAAAAAATATTAGTCATAGATTTTTTATTCATACTTTGCCAAAAGCATGCAATTTATTACCGTTAGATATTAGGCTCACCACTAGATTTAAACGTTTTTCCACTATATCTAGAAATTTTATCTTTCATAATTAAATTTGTAAAAATTCTAGAATAAAAAATTAAAAAATAAAATAAATATATAGAATAGAATATGTAGGTAGCAGAGCTGTTTAAAATCATTTTAAAAACGATTTAAATCAAAGATCTTAAATCGTTTGCATTTGAACAAATGATTTAAATCAAAGATCGATTTTTTAAAAAGAAAGATTTAAATCAAAAATCTTTTTTAGATTTAAATCAAAGATCGATTTTTTAAAAAGAAAGATTTAAATCAAAAATCTTTTTTAGATTTAAATCTTTTTTACAATTTAAATCCTTTTTCTTTTTGAAAGATTTAAATATTTTCGAAATATTTAAATCTTTTTAAACAAAATAAATATTTTCAAAAGATTTAAATCTTTTTATAGATTTGGGTAAATCTTTAAAAAATGCTTTCGGTAGGCCTATGAGACAAAACCAAAGATAATAAATACTTAAGTAATGTGATTTTCTCATAAATAAAACACAAAATCGATCAAATTTTCTCGTATTTTTTTATCGTTATTAACCCAATGCAATTCTTACGGAAATATTAATTTTAAATAATAAATATCCAATCGAGATAAAAATTTTAAGGATTTATGCAGCATTGATATCTATAGTTATGAAAATTGTTATTTAAAAATGTCATGTCGATTGGTAAATAGGAATTTTTCAACCCTTTAAAAGATACTTTTGGTATGCCTATGATGCCACAAAACAATAGAGTCCTAGTTTTTAAGAAAAGTGATTATTTTTTCTGAAAAATCACTTATATCCTTTATTCTTTGAGTTAACGTGCTTAATGTCATACATACATAGATGCACATACATCAGATTCTTTAAAAATATGTTTTTTTTTGTACTTAGAAGACTCTCCCGGGAAAAAGCATTTCATTTTTAAAATCTCCCGGCTTCAGGAATGTACCTAAAATCTCCCGAATCTTTAAACTATGAATAATGAAATTGAGTGGGTTGAATTAAAAGAGTTCTTCTCTCAACATGTCTATAAATGCACGAGGATAAACTGTATGATAATAATTAAAGTAGAAGTACGTGAAGTTATTGCGAGCAAATAACCAAAGTAGGCGCGTTTGGGTTAATTTTTTTGAAAAATGTGTGGATGAATCAGGCAAAGAAATAAAAAATTTAATTAATTCGCTCTACCTATGCCGAGCGTGTTTATTGAACTGGTCAAAAAGTTATAATCGTCTTAATGCAACTCATGTCAAATCTGAAATAAAAGTGTGCATAAATTTAAAATACATAAAAGAGTTTTATGATTATATCGACAATGAAAAAGTATTTCCAGCTACTTGCGGTGTAAAAAAATACAATTTTAATAAAAAATATTGTAAAATTTCATACTTAAGAATAATCTTTAGTTATTGCAATTATTTGTTACACTTTACTATTTTTTGTTTTTCTTTTCTCCCGGATTTCTGATTCACAGAGTTGGCAACCCTACTGACATGCTGGCTAGATTATTATTCAGGAATGGAGAGGTTGATAACGATTTTTCGAATCAGGTGATTTCAGCCCCCTTCTCGTCTCTTGAGTGTTTTTATAGATATAAATATTTTTACGGATTTAAATCATTTTGAAAAGATGTAAATCGTTTTAAAAAGATATAAATCTTTAAAAAGATTTAAATCTTTAAGAAAATTTAAATAATTTTAAAAAGATTTAAATCGCTTTAAAAAGATTTAAATCTAATTTTTAAATAAAAAATCAAAGATACTTTTCAAAAAGATTTAAATCATAAATCAAAAATCATTTTTATAAAACAGATTTAAAATCAAAGTATTTAAATCAAAAAATGATTTAAATCTCACTGATAGGTGACAGCTCTGGTAGGTAGGCACTAAAATAATACCTAAAATAATAAATTACTCTATATTTGCTCTTACATGTTAAATTTTTAATTTATATTTAATGTAATACAACACAGTATATCGTTTAGAGTGGCACAACACAAGTGTTCAATCACTTAGGTGCTTAACTCTGGACGATTTTCATTTGTTCTTTCCACTAGTTTTACTACTTTTCATCTTTATTACAATTTTCTACAGTCTATGTTTTCTTCATGGATTCATCTATACATATCTTGTTCATTTTATCTTTATTTTTGTTTTTATTAATACTATTTCCATAAGGCATGTATAATTGTTTTAAATCTGAATTATTTTAGATTTCACATTGTAAATTTGTAAGAAAAATGTAAATATTGTAAAAGGGCTTATGTCCAAATAAATAAATAAATAAATAAAAAAAAATAAATAAATTTAAATCTAGCTTTCTTTTAATTTCATAAATTTAAATTCACTTTAATATCATCTGAAAATCATCTGTTGAATCAGGGCTGGTATATAAAAGGGGGTTGCTAATAGACCCAGTATGTGGATAAAGGAGTCACTGAGGAAAAGAGGATAATAGTGTCAGCTTAAGTTGGCAACACTTACCTGATGTTCGTATGCTGAAAAACTCAATTTTCGTTTTTCCAGCAATAATTATATTTGAAAAACAGAGACAGATCTAATTAGTAGGTACAATGTGGTACAAGCGGAATGAATTATTACTGGGCAATTAATTTTTGTCGACTCGAATCGACTATAAAAATCATCATCAATTTCTCTTAACCAATTTGTAGGTATGTATATTTTTCTTGGAATTCCACAATGTCTGCATTTTCATCTAAGAAATCTGTGTCAATTTTTATTTTGAAATAAATCAAACCAAAATAGCACAAATTTGAAAGTAAAATATCTATATTTAACATGTCTTGTTATATTATAAATAATGAATTAAATTTAAATATTTTATCCAAAAATCAAGGTGTAAGTTAATAGCTCTAAAACATTTTATGTCGAAGACCATAAAAATGTAATTTTTAAAAAAAACTGCCTATACCTTTCTCCTGAATTGGCCGGCTTACATACTACTATTTCAAAATGGCATCCAAGATGGAAGGCTATTTAATATTGAATAAATTCATATGTCAAGTCACATATTTTAAGCAGTCATAATGACATTAATGTAAGCAAAAGACTATCAACTAGTTAGTCAAATTGACTATTATAACAAACTTATATGAGTCGCTGTTTTATGAAAATAATTTATTTGCTACATAACATATATTTTTTATATTTAAAATTAAATGTACCTGTTGCAAAGCCGGTGAACTATATCCTTGACCAGCAGGAGTCCTAGCAGGTACCGGTGCTGGCGACATCCTCTTAATCCTTTGCTGAACAGTATTAGGTACTGGCGGTTGGTACCCACCTGATCCACCCACAACGTGCGGAGGGGGTGGAGGGGGAGTATTTCTAGGCGGCGGAGGTGGAGGCGGTTCATTAAAACTAGGGGAATAGCGATTATGTAAATCTGTTATGAGTCGAGGACTATCAGATCGGGAACTGCCCGCCCCACTATCCAGAGCAGGACTGCCTCTTGGAAGGACCAGTTCGCGTTCAATACTTGGTTTTCGGATTAACTTGGTGTAACCCGCAGAAGTTTTTAGTGCAGATGAGTCGAGAGATTGCTTATTAAGGTAGTCTAGAGCGATGTCCATACGACCGTTGGCCATTTGTAGGGCACGAATTACAGATTCCTGGAAAAAAAGTAATGTAACATTTGATACAATAAATTTATTATACTAAGTTCAACTTAAGGCTTAGCAAGCACACCCAGTTTTAAAAAGTACCTATAGTAAAAGTTAAATAATATGTTCATAGATTCCACTAGTATGTCCATTTCAGTAAATTAAATCGACTGTTGTGTTCCAATTAAAAAAAAAAAAACAATGATTATGCCTATATCTAAAAACCATTAATAATCTGGTCTATTGTACCAACGAGCTTTGACAATAAATTCTTAAAGAATTTCAATAAATCCGTTCGTTGTCATGTCTAATCATTTTGAACAAGTTTGTTTTTAGAGTGAATTTCGTAAAACTTGTTATATTCACCTGCCTGTTATCAAAGTTATTTGAATCGGTAACAATGTTTCTTAATTATTTGCTTGAGCCCAGTAAAAGTAAAAACAAAAATGAATTTAGTTAGAAACAGCTATAACGGTTAAGTGCCATTTGGGTGGAAATTTACTATTACTATTTACTAAAGATTATTTAGTGATGGTAGAAAATTCAAAGTAATGAATAATATACCAGAGTTGTCTTTTTGGCCAAGTTTAATAACTTGTTCAAATATTTCACTACATGGAGAACAATGTACTCATGTCAAATAAATTATAGGATATTAACCACTCTGTACGAATTAACAGAAAAATGTAAATTCAATAATAATTATAAATCCTACTTATCCTACACGTGCAATCTATATTTTTAGGTTAATAAAAGTTCTAAAAATGTAAAATCAATTTAAAAAGAGAATTTTTGTAAATAATGACAACTTAAGTTAGGTACTTAAGCTGTATCTGGGTTTGGAAGGGAAACAAAAATTATTTTATTTAAAATGCAACAAAGAATTAATAGGGCATAAGAACATGCATGCCAAACACAACGTATTTGAATAATCTGATTCAGACTGATCTAAAAGAAATACCTATTATTTTTCATTGGTTTCTTTTTTTGTTTCCGTACGTTAAGTATATATATTTAAATGTTATTATTCTTTGTTTACTTTCTAATTATGGTAGAAAAAGGTTTTATTTTTCGTTTCTTATATACTTGTTTTTTTTTTTACTACGCTGCAAATTATAATTATTTCCCCCTGTATTAAAATCTACTGTTCAGATTTACTGTTTTTTTTTTCACCCATACTGTTCCAGCAAATGTTCATCTGGCGACACTGCCCAGGATAGAACTATTAAAGGGGCGTTTGATTTGAAACTCGATCGAGCGAGCGTCGAGGAGACCGAGAAGTGATGACGTCACAATAGAGCATTGAATCAAATCAAATAAAACAGAGTAAAAAACATAACCTCGCTTTTTTGTGATTCTTGCTTAGATTCTTGTTTATGGTTTGTGTGTCAAAATCTTAGACTAGGTATACCTAGTTTAAGGTCAAAATAGTGAGCAAAAAGTAAAGAAAATGGAAAAACTTTTAATAATAAGGGGTACTGGCGCTGAAATGCAGCATTTATCACAAATGCCCGCTCTCATACTCCATGACTGTGATTACTGGTGATTAGATCTGGACAGAGAAAATGTATTTTCCAAACACACATTTTGTGTTTTTATAACGAATAATTTTAGCTATAAGACAAAAGCGGCTAAGTAATTAGTTGACTTCTTGTTTGGTCTTTAATTTTGAGATTTAAATTTATTTGTAAGTTAATTAAAAAGAGACAGGTAGAGACAAAGACAAATTTCTCCCTCTTCTCGATCCTTCTGCTCTGAGAACATCGAGCTCGCTCTATGTTCTCGCTCCAAAGCAAAACAAACACTTTAGGGATCTCTCGGAGTTTCAATTCAAACACGTTTGCAGCACTCAGAGATCTCCGATGATCAAATCAAACGCACCAATAATATCGACTGATCACCTCGAAATACAAGCGATGACTAAGCGAGACAGGTAGAAAAGCCCAAATCGGCCAATTTTTCGGAACGTTTTTTAGGGGGCTATATCCTATCCAGTAAAATAATACAGATCAGTGATTTGTACAGAATATGTTACAATACCTCCTATACTCTGTTTTTAAACTAGGAGGAGCGAATTGAAAAGACGCATTTACACAAGGAAAAGTAACTAGATTCGTTACTAAGAGCATGTTCCGAAATATAGTCGTGTTCAAAATTTATGTAATAGTTGTTATTATCGGCCCTAGTCGGTGAACGGCCAATAAGGGGTTAAGGAACAAATAAATGTCATAAGAGTCGATGTTTTTATTGGTTCCAGAGAACGGTCGTAAATTTCACATTATTGTGATCTGAAAAGTGTGTCTAAAACGAACTGTCACTGTCAAAAGAAATTTATAGTCGTTGATTTGTTGACGTTATTAGAAATTTTAGAAATATGTTTTTCTTGCTTTTGAAATCGACTTTTTGAGGATATGACTTTTTTTAAATGGATATTAAATATTTATGAAAATTGTTAAAAGAATATTAATGTGCAGGTTAGTATAAAACATAAAAGTATAATCGTTTTACATTTTCAATGATATATTTGTTATAGGTATAAACTTAAGTAAAAGGTAATCAGTGAATGGCAACTGGATCACACAGTGACTGGAATTTCTCCTATGAGTAAAATGGACATTGTAGCTTATTTAGTGTTAACCCATAGTTAATACGCTAAAGGCCAAATAAAAACATTCAAAAGTTTACAGGCCTGTCAGGATTTGTTTTGAAAACTGGAACCAACATTTTCATAACACTACATCAACATTATACCATTACTAAAACTTACCTCAATAATGTAGGTCCTTTTAACTCAAGTTGTAATTTTTACCTACATTTTTTAATTTAAAGTGATTACTCATATATACCTATGTATTATGTATTAATGTTAGTAGATATTTTTAAAATATTTGTTGTTGAAATAATGTTAGCTCATTATGCTGTAATGTAGCAGATTGTGTTCTAAATGTGAATTAACAACTTTTTAAATGGTTTTATTATTTTTTTAATAAATAAAATTTACTTGAACATGTAGTTATTTTTAATTATTTTGGTAAGAAAGTTATCAATTTTTAGTTTTAAAAAATCAGTAATAAAAGTTGTTAGTTTTTTCTGGAATACTTCGGAATTCATCTCTTCATGGTAATCTCCCGTCTTTTTGCCTTTAAAACCAATAATGTATTTTCTATAAAACCCTCTTCAGTCTTCCCTTTCTTATAGGGCTTTTCAGGAATTGCTACCCTTAATAGTACTCGATGAAGAAGGATCCATAATCGTAGAAGTTCAATACAATTGCTTACTAATGTTCCGAAAAGCACTATTATTTACGAAATAAAGTAAAAAGCTAATAGCGGATTCGACTGGCTGCATTAATGCGCATTTAGCTCGACTTTTTTAAGTGGTGTCTGTTCGACTGGCAGAATCTAATTACTTAAAAGTCAATTATTGCATTCGACTCAAATTGCTTGGTATCAAGGCATAGTGAAATTTTTGTTCGACTGGCAGGCGTTCTTGCTCAAAATTCGAATTTTTTGGAACTGTACTTTTTTTCAGTGCCAGTGTCGTTTTGGAGGTTAGGAATTATTTAATATTTTGAAATATATTACCATCTTTGTTTTTATTATTAGTGAGAATGGCAAATCTTTGAAATTAATAGAAATTTAATTTTTGGTTTGGCAACTATAAAGAAATATCGTTAAAAATTTGTTAGAAACCTGAAATATCAAGTGCTAACTGTGCCAGTCGAATAACGATAAAGATGCGCGCCACCAATGTCGAATTCTAGCTCGTGCTTGCTGTGTGCACTGCTAGATATAAATTTGAATTATAAAAATGTTACCCAAAATCAATTCAGAACTAAAAGCGCTTTGTCATTGAGCAAGAGCATTTGAGTCGAATCCGCTATAAGTAATAATGATGAGATATCAAAATATAAAATGTCAGAACTGTCAACAAAATCAATTTTTAGCTGATCTTAATGCTACAAAGTGATGTGTGAAACTGACTGCAATCTGACCAATCAGAAGTCTACAGAATTGCCAACTTAAATTCAAATCGCTCCTCCTAGTTTAAAAACAGAGTATAGTTGAGTTTAAAAATTAATTAGGATACTTTAAATTAGGTCGCAAATAATTAGTGGTAAATTTACTGTATTTTTAAATAATTTATTCAACTATTTTTTCACACAAATTGTCACACAATATAGCTAATACTTTCAGCTATTGCCAATTAAATTAAGAACCCACAAAATCATTCATTTTATAAACGAGATGGAATGGGAAGGGTCGATGTTTTTACTTATGTTTCACGTAACCCTTAAGAAATAATAAAGGAAATTATTTATTGGAGTATGAAATACACTATAGCTAATAAATGATCTGGATCAACATAAATTACTTACCTCTGGGTACCCCAACTGCCTTAATTGAATGATATCTTTATCATTGACATTACTTCCTCCTCCACCAGAAGTAGAACTTAGAGAGCTGACTCCACTAGTCGCGGAGAAATTTGAAATAGTGCTAGCGGCGCTGGAACTCATAGCCTCATTGCTGCTTTTGGCGAATGGTCTCAATGAATTCTGGATTTCTTCCATTGCTTTTTGGTGATAGCCCGGAGACCGGGCTGGCGTGCTTGGATTCATGATGATTTCGGAACGAGGCTGTTGGCCCATACTGGGCCTCACGCGAGGCTTGTAACTCTTTTACATCGACTTTAGAATGGGTTCAATTTATTTCAAATTTTTACTGCAACAAAAAGATAAACACAATTAGGGTTTTTAGGGAAGGAATTAACAAAATTAGGTTGCCTCCAAAACATGTTTAGAATAATTAATACGGCATTATCTTCGACCAACGAGCACCACCAATTGCCATGGATTCGACCGGCCATAATTATATATTTTGATTCGATTGTAAAATTTACAATGCAATTGTGTCATTAATTTCTTCGCCTATTTATTTAATTGTTTATATTTTGAGGCATAGGGCTTTTTTAAATAAAACAATTTATTAAAAAAAATCTGATGTATCCAACATATGACTTTCCTGTCTAGGTATTATAGGCTCTTTCCTGTTATTTTGTTAGAGGATGAACTAAATATATACATTTTCCACATACATCTTACTCGTAACATTCTTTTATATATATTTATGGCTAACGAAAATACTAAAAAAAAAATAAAAATTTTACACTTTTCCTCAAATTTTTCCATTACGGTCCATTTTAGAGAAATCATATATGAAACAAAAATAATAAAGATCGATATCGCAAACAACTTTTAGTCAAACAATTTTCTTAAAAATTAGAATTTTGAACAATTTTCTTAAAAATTAGAATTTTGAACATTTTGTCAAATTTCTCGAATACGAACCGTTTTAAGCAAATTGCGTAAATGTCAAAAATCATAGACAATAATATTACAAGCAACTTTTATTTGAAGAATTTTCTTCTCCAAGAGTAAATAAGATATATTCCATAAAGTAGAAAAACAACCTTCTATAAAGTACCCTCCAGATTTTATTTATTTTACCGCAGGATTGAATAAAGCCTAAATTTAAAATTCGAAATTTACACTTTTCTCAAATATCTCGAGTACGGTCCATTTCAGAGAAATTATGTATGATACAAGAATTATAGAAAATTATATCACAAACAACTTTTATTTGAATAATTTTCTTAAAAATTTGAATTTTTTAAATTTTGTAAAATTTTAGGAAAATTTTGTATGGGGCAAAAATTATAGAGAATAATATTAGAAGTACATTTTATTTGAAGAAATTTCTTCTCCAAATGTATTTCATAAAATATAAAAACGACCCCTTAAAAAGTACCCCCAGATGTTCCGACTCTGTCCAAAATCTAATCTGTTAACTGCAGGCCGGAATAAAGTTTAATTTTAAAATTTAGTGTTTTTCTCTTTATCCGTTAGGGCCGTTTTAGGTCCATTTTAGATCACAAATAACTTTTATTTAAACAATTTTTTTAAAAATTTGAATTTTTTATATTTTGTTAAATTTCTCGAATAAGGATCATTTTAGAAAAATTTTGTGAAGGGAAATATCATAGAGAATAATATTAGAAGTAACTTTTATTTAAATAATTTTCCTCTCTAAACGTAAATAACAGATATATTCCATAACATATAAAAAAATCCTCTATAAAGTACCCCCCAGATGTTCCGACTCTGCCCAAAATCAGTTCACCGCAGGCTGAATAAAGCTCGAGATTAAAATTTGGTGTTTTTGCCTCTGTATCCGTTCATGAGTTATCGAGTATTCACACACTCACACACACAGACATCATCGCGAAAATAGTCAAAACGGATTCAGGGGACCCAAAACGTAAAAATCCGTCGAAAACTCGAAATCGAAAAAATCATGATTATACAGACAGGAAAGTAAAATATACAAATATACAAAAAATTTTGAAATTTACTTCATTACGTGTTGATTTATTAATGTTTAAAAATAACAAAACATCACACATAGGAAAGCAACTAAACTGACAATGACCTTATCTAATGGCAAAAAGTCTTACTTCACGTTTGAACCAAAACTAGTCCAGTAACTGAAGGGTCAAACCTGTAAAAAATTCGCTGATGAGTTCCCACATAGCGCAATTTGTAGGTCATCGCAGGTGTTTTTAAACGAGAAAATCCTTAACGCGTTCTTGGTACCGGAAGGGGCTGAAAATGGACTCCTAAAACTTGGAAAATGGGTTTCTCGCTAATATCTGACTGAATATGCCAATTAGAGAATTTTTGTTCAGACAAAAATGAAGATCAGCACATTATCTACAAAAATGGCCCTTATCATTTTCTTCGAGTTTTCGAGATAATGCCACTCAAAAGTCCCCTCATTTCAGCTGTTGCTCTACCTGCAGGAATTCCGCTTTTTATGAATTAACGTGTAAGCGGGCGGACGCATTTTTCCATAACTCGGGAAAAAAATTGATATTTTTCGATGAATCAAAGTTCATCGCAATGGGAAAACCCGTAGCTACAATTCCATGTGACTTGAAGTCAGTTCGTATTTGCCAAAAATATTTGAAAAAGCGGTCAAAGTTTTTTTTCAACAATATTTAGAGACTGTTTCATTAATTTATTCATATTTTCTTTAACAATAGTCATTTATTCTAATTTTGCCTTTATAATGGGACCTTGGGGGGTCTTGAATGATCTCAGAATTTTTTTTGTAATACTTTTCTTGGGTTTTAATACAAAACTGATTTGTTTATTTACATGTTTTAGCCGATTTCGGAGCTCCTTAGAATCTTCGGAACAAGCGCGAATTATAATCTTATGATCCGTTATATTGATTTCCAATGCACATCATTTTAAAGCTTAGATGGTCTACTTTTCGAATATATTTTTTTATTTTTAATAGAGTCTAATAATTTTCAAGAAATGAGGAAAATTGATCACACGAGTGAAAACTGGCCTTTTTTGTTTAACCATTTCTTGTTCCCCGCTCTTTATTTTTTGAGGATTAATAAGTAGATCAAAGTAAAGCTTGTATTCTGACCTTTCCATTGATATAAGTCAATCCCCATATCCGTTCTTGGTTCTAAAAAGATTGTTCAAATTATATACTTCATTTTTACGCTCTCCCTCTGAGATCCATGATATTGTATATAACCCTTCTACAACCACATAACTGATTGTAAAACTTTTTGTACAATTGTACAACCAGGAACAACACTGTCTGCATGTGTTTGTATACAATCTCGTTTTGGAGTCGTCGGCTTGACAGGATTATTGATGTACTGATGATATTTTTTCATTATTTATTTTGAATTATTTATTTAAAATAAAATAAATATTTTTCATTAAATTAATTCAGTTATAAAAAAAAGAGGAAGTGTTTAAAGTGAGAAATTTCCACGTTATTCTTGTCTACAAGAAAGAATATTCAAGGATTTTTTTGTTGGAAGCAGAAAATAAGGTTTGTTTTATTTTGCCTCAACTTTAAAAACTTGGTGTAATTGTTCTAACGGTTGGATAATCTATTTTTTGGTACTTAGCTCTTGGTGTTGTTGAAATAAATGGAAGCGGATTCCGTTCCAAAATGCTTTCTTTGTAAGGAGGGTGTTGTGTATGAGGGTGTAAATGTTACTCGTGGTTTAGAAAATTTGATTCGAGTGAGCAAGGAGAGATGCGATAATTTCCAGAGAGAGAAAGGACGACAGGGGGAAGGGTAGAAATGGAGCAAGAGGGAGTAGGCGACGAGAATACCATTGACGATGAAGAATATGTATATGATTCTGATGACTTGGAGTGGTTGACCACACCCTAAAGGTTATGTATGTTTTATATCCAACCAATTCTTCCAAATAAATGTAATTTTTCAAAGACGCGTATTTTTCCGAAATCCTGCACCCATATTATTCCGAAAAAAGGTTTGCAAAAAAATCGCAAAAAATGCGTAAAATGTTTAGAATTGTTGTATGGTGAATATTCACCACGCTCTAAAAGTTGTCATTTGCTTTTAGCCAAAACAACGGGATTCAAGACCTTGGCACAATGAAAAATTAATTTTTGCAATTGTCTGGTAAATTTGCAACTCAAATTGCACAGAACATTCGCTAATACAATTGAGAGAGCCCAAGCGCTACTTTGCAGAAAAAAATCAGGTGAAATCCGCCAGTAATTGTCGAATAATCGATTATTTCCGAGATATTCATTTACGGCTCCGTAATTTAGCGAGAAGAGCAAAGGTGCTGGCGCCATCTGCAATTGGTCTCTACCAAAAAATGAAGATCAATGCATTTCCAACCCCATCGAGCAGAAATTTGGCAAGAAACTACCATATCTATTCAATATGAAAATTATGGATTTTTCTAAGTCTGATTTTGCAAAAAATATTGGCATTGCGAAAAAATTGGTATGCATCAATCATTTTTGTAGAGAATGAGCTGATCTTCATTTTTTGTCTGAACAAAAATTCTCTAATTTGCATATTTAGCCAGATATTATCGGGAAACCCGTTTTTCAGAGTTTAGGGGTCCATTTTCAGCCCCTTCCGGTACCAAGAACGCGTTAAGGATTTTCTCATTTAAAAACACCTGCGATGACCTACAAATTGAGCTACGTGGGAACTCATCAGCGATTTTTTTACAGCTTTCGATCTTTTCAGTCCTTCATTTACTGGACTAAACCGATATCATGCAGGGCCGAATTTTAATTCTAAGGATGAGTGCGCTACGTTAATTTTCGTTATTCTGAAACAATAATTAGTCGAGAATTAATGAAGCAAATTTCAAAATTTTTTGGAAGGTTGAATAGAGAATAAAACCCCCTTTCAAATGAGCTATCACTCACCACCCCACGCCATTTAAATTTTTCGAAAGGGTTGCTCCCCTCCAGTAAGGGATGAAATTAAGGGTAAACTATTCATACAAAAATGTACATTGTAGAAATCAAAAATCGACGTGTCTCGGCGATTTTCCTAACAAGACTCCAATAACGAGTTAGATAGGGGGGGGGGGGGGGGGGGGTGTAAGACTTATGATGCTCACTGTATATTTTAAACTATATAAACCAAAGATGGGTAAGAGGCGAAATGTGAGGTCCAGATTAAATGACACTTTCATGTGGATAAAGCAAGTGTGTTTTTATTTTTGTTATGTTTTAAATATACAGGGTGAATAAATACTAAGTTGATACTTTTTTTACCATGCATAGAAGTCATTAAAATAAACATCTTTTTCGTTTTTTAAAAAAGTCAAAAATAAAAAATATAGAGAA